GGCGAGGGGTCCCCGGGTAACCGGCCGCCCCGCCCCAGAGGTGGCCGCATCTCAGCGCCGGGCGAGGGGTCTTAGCTGTAATTCAGCTGTAGTAGGTTGTTATCCTCTCATCTGACACCCCCCCACACACACCTGTAGGGGAAACTAAGCTGCGGAGTGCTGGCCCAGGTTCTGCCCCCCACCAATGCCCCCAATCCCGCCCCCCAGGCCCAGCCCTCCCCGGGAAGAGCCCCCCAGTGAGGAGCGGAGGCGCCCTGAGACGCTGCAGATCTGGCAGGAGAGGGAGCGGCAGCAGCAGGCGTTGCGGAGCCAGGCGCTGGAGAAGCGGGACAGGTACGTGGAGGGGGGGCGGGCCCCCGCCGGGGCGGGGGGGGGGGGGGGGGCGCCCCCCCCCCCCCCCCCCCCCCCCGCGAGACCCTCCCCCCCCCTGCGCCCCCCCCCAGGAGAGGTCCTCTCCCCCCCCTCATTGGCAGGTTGCTCCTGTCTCCCCTGGGCCCTTGAAGCCCCGTGGAGCTGCTGGGATTCAGGTGCCCCCCCCCCATATAAGCTAGAGCTGCCTTGGGGCTGCTCTAACGCTGTCACCCTCTGGAGGTGAGAGTGGCTGAGCGGTTCCCCTCGTCCCCCCCGCATACCCTGCCTCCTCCCCTCACGGCCAGGATTGGAGGCCCTATCCCAGCGTGGGGGGCACTTCCCGCCCCCTCGGGTGCCCGGAGCAGCCCCCTCACCTGGCTCTGTCTCCCCTCAGTGGCCCATCAGAGAGCAGCAGCCTGCCCCCGAGGAAGCCGAGGACCCAGGTGAGAGGGGAGGGACTGGGGTTGGAAGGGGTTTGGGGGTGGGGGGGATGGTGCCCCATGGGACTCAGGCTGACTCCCCCCCCCCCCCCCCCCCCCACGTCTGTTTCAGGTCACGGAGCAGCCGCCCGGCGTCTCCAGCCCGGCGTCCCCTGGGCAGATGCCCCAGCAGCAGGGTGAGTGCGGGAAGGGGGGGTGCGGCCAGGAGAGGGGTAATGCTCGGGGGGGCCGGGGAGAGGCCGCGGCAGGAGACGTATGGCCAGGGAGTGTCTCCGGGGAGGGGAGTGGGGTCTGGTGGTTAGAGCAGGGGGGCTGGGAGCCAGGACTCCTGGGTTCTCTCCCTGGCTCTGGGAGGGGAGTGGGAGCTGGTGTGTTAGAGTGGGGGGGCTGGGAGCCCGGACTCCTGGGTTCTCTCCTGGCTCTGGCATGGGACACGTATCCCCCTGGGGTAGCTGATCCTGGCTGAAGGGACCTGCAGCGCCGAGGTCCCAGCTGTGCGGTTCGGGGGTGCTGTGGGGAAAGATCTCACCTTCGCTCTCCCCCTGCCCCCCAGAGTCCCTCCCCCCGCCGGTCTCCAGCCCCCCGGCCCGGGAGCCCAGCTCGGCCCAGAAGCCCAGCAGCTTCCTCTTCCGCTCCTCGTCGCGGACCGCCATCAAGCCCGGCTCCGGTAGGTGGCGCCACGCGGCTCTGCCCCCCTCTGCTGGCAGGCCGGGGTACTGCCGTGGCCCCCGGCAGCTCTGCGGGTCCAGGGTTCAAATCCTGCCCGTGGCCGGCAGATCTGCACGGGGCCGTGCGCTCCCCGCCGGCCCTGCGTCTCCACCCCCCTGAGCCCTGCCGTCCTCTCCGCAGCCTGTGCCCCCCACGACTGCACCGCGGACCACCAGCACCCCCTGCGGCTACGGGCCAGCTCGCACGACCTGGATGAGAAGGAGTTAACAGCCCAGCTCCGCAAGGTACAGATGTGCCCCCCCTCCCCAGCCCCCGGGTCCCCCCGTGAGCTTCCCGCACCGAGTCCCCTGGGTGGGGCTCCTGGGGACCCCCCTGACGCCCCCCAAAGGCCCCTACCCCCCCCACCAGGCTTCGTCTCTCTCCCTGGCAAACCGGTCCGCTGGGCACTTCGTTCCCAGCCCCTCCGGCCGGCTCCTCGCCGGGGACAACCCTGGCCATGGGGTGCCGGGCTACAGAGCGTGGGCTGGTCTCTGTGCCCCATTAGCCCGTTGCCGTCACACCTGCCTCTAGGGGTCACCGCACCGATTCCACCCCCTAGATAGAGGAATGACACGTGGGGAAACCGAGGCGCGCACACAGTATTCAGACAAAATATTAAAGACATTCCCACTTCGGCACACCTCCCCGCCCCCGAGACCCTGAAAGCTTGGCTGAGATCCCGCACCAGGGTCTGCAAGGCTGGGAACCAGGACGCCTGGGTTCTCTCCCCGGCTCTGGGAGGGGAGCGGAGGCTGGTGGGTTAGAGCAGTGGGGGCTGGGAGCCAGGACGCCTGGGTTCTCCCGGGCTCTGCCCCTGATTTCCCGGGGAAGTAATTTGATCTTCCTCTAGACACCTGTGTGTAAGTTCCCTGCAGTGAGCGCGTGCGTGGGGGGTATCCGTGGACCCCGCCCACCTGCCCATCTCTCCCCCCCACAGGCCATCGAGTCGCGGCTCAGCGTGACACTGACGGAGGACCTGGGTGACGCCCTGGCCAATGGGGCCGTGCTGTGCCAGCTGGCCAACCACCTGCGCCCGCGCTCTGTGCCCTTCATCCACGTCCCGTCTCCCGCCGTGGTGAGTGGGGAGCCCCGCCCCGCATTGGACGCCTGGGTTCTCTCCCCGGCGCTGGGAGGGGAGTGGGGGCTGGTGGGTTAGAGCAGGGGGGGCTGGGAGCCAGGACTCCTGGGTTCTCTCCCCGGCGCTGTGAGGGGAGTGGGGGCTGGTGGGTTAGAGCAGGGGGGCTGGGAGCCAGGACTCCTGGGTTCTCTCCCTGGCTCTGGGAGGGGAGTGGGGGCTGGGGGGTTAGAGCAGGGGGGGCTGGGAGCCAGGACTCCTGGGTTCTCTCTCTGGCTCTGGGAGGGGAGTGGGGGTTGGTGGGTTGGAGCAGGGGGGGGCTGGGAGCCCGGACTCCTGGGTTCTCTCCCCGGCTCTGGGAGGGGAGTGGGGGCTGGTGGGTTAGAGCGGGGGGACTGGGAGCCAGGACTCCTGGGTTCTCTCCCCAGAACTGAGGGCTGGGCTGCATCTTCTTGAAACAAAACCTTAGCGTCCACATGACGGGACAGCAGCTTGGGCTTCCCTGCTCCCCACAGCGCCCTGAGCCCCCCGCGGCCCCCCAGCCCTCTCACCCCTCTCTGCTCTCCCCACAGCCAAAGCTGAACAAGATCAAATGTCGGAAAAACGTGGAGAGCTTCCTGGAGGCCTGTCGCCACATGGGGGTCCCAGAGGTAACGCGGGGGCTGGGGGCGGGGGGGGCGTCTCTGATTTCTGTGCTGTGCAGCTGGGAGCAGAGAGTCACCTCTCCATGGCACCCCCGTGTGGCTGCACTAGTGCAAGGCCCTGCCCCTTCTTGTGCAGTTGCACTACCCTGTGCAAAGCCCAGCCTCTCTCTCTGCCCTAGCCTCTCATGCAAGTGGACTGTGCTCATGTGATTGCCATGCCCTCTCTTGTGCAAAGCCACGCCCCGCTTGTGCAAAGCCACGCCCCTCTCACACAAGCCACGCCCCAGGCACGGCTAGGGGTACGGATTCCCAGCTGACAGGCCCCTCGCCCCAGGAGCTGCAGTGCTCTTGGGGTCACCCCCCCGAATACCCTGCTGCGCCCACCCCCCTGGGCCGGCGATGACGGCTCCTGTCCCCCCTTTGCACGGCAGCAGCGTCGGGGCTGAGACCCTGCACGGCTCCCCCCCAGCTGAGCGTGGGGCCCGTCATACAGCACCCAGGGAGAGAACCCAGGAGTCCTGGCTCCCAGCCCCCCCTGCTCTAACACACCAGCCCCCACTCCCCTCCCCTTCTGGCTCTGGCAGGGTCCCCTGGGTGCTGGCAGATGCAGGGTTGCCAGCCCAGCGCAGTGGGCGGGGCGGGGGGCAGCCGGTCTCATTTTCCTCCTCCCCGGTGCCAGCCCCCCAGCAGGTCCCGTAACCTCTCTCCTGTCTTTGTCTCCCTCGCCGGGCCCAGGTCGCCCTCTGCTCCGCCTCCGACGTGCTCCAGGGGGACGCCGGGCGGCTCCGGGGCACCCTGCGGGCCCTGCTGCGCCCCGGAGCCGCCGAGGAGAGCCCTGCCGCTGCCCACGCCGCGCCCGCCCTACCCGGGCCCCTCGCCGGCTTCGCCCTCTTCTATGTCTCCGTGATGTCGCTGCTTTTCCTGGCCTATCACAAGCTCTGGGGCTTCTGAGGAGCCGCGGGGGGGCCCCAGCCCTGCCTAGTGCCTTAGAGAGACCCACGGCGGGGTGTGGGGCTGGGTATCCCTCTGGGGCCTGGTGGATCCCCGCTGCCGGCCCCCGACCGCCTTCAAACCCGCCTCCTCCTACAGAGACCTGCTGTGGGTCCCAGAGCCCTGGTGTGGGCCCCGCTCCAGGCTCCCCCTTGGGGGGCGAGCTAGCCCCCTTCCCCAGCTCTCCAGTGCCTCTCAGTGGCCACGGGCTGCCCTGCGGCCAGCTCGCTTCAGCTGCCTTAACGCGGTTAAATTATACGGCTCTATATTTGATATATATATTGGAAGGCCGAGCCCGGCCGCCGGGCCCGGCATGTACAAACGTGTAAATAGCGTGTGGACTCGGGCGGCTCCTTCTCTCTCGGCGATTTCCTGTTGTACGTGTGCCCCGTCCCCTGGCCGCTTTCGGTGTGTCCCGGCCGCCGCGTGTGTGTCATGCCCCCCGCGCTGTCGCGTTCGCTGAGAAAAGCAGCGCTCCAACCCACCGTGTGGCTTTTGTCTTGGTTTGCATTGGCTTGTCTGTGCTTTGGCGCGGCCGGGCTGGTGCCCTCTGGCCCCGTGGGGATGGGGTGGGGGGCAGTTCACGGGTCACGTGGCGACTGGGGGCCCCCTTGGGCCGGGCGCTGCACAGAACGTGGCCCCGGTGAGTCGGCCTCGCACAGGACTTGCTGTTCAAGGGGCCCATCTGGCCTGGCGTCCCGGCTGCTCTAAAATCTCCCTCCCGCCCCCTTGCAGAACAGCTTGTCTCCCACAGTGAGTGGTGGGTTTCTTCCACCAGCGCCCCTGGTGGTGGAGGTCCAGGCAACCGCCTCCCCACCCCCTCTAACGTCTCCTCTCTCCTCCCAGGAAGCCCTGTGCCAGCCCCAGCACGTCCTGGACGAGGAGAGCCTGGCGCCGCTGGCCCGGACCGTCCAGGCCCTGCTGACTGTGGCCCCGCCCCCGAAGAAGCCGACTCCCCCCGAGGGCACCTCCAGCAAGATCTAAGGGGTGGGGGCCCAGGCGCTAATGGCACAGCCGAGGGGCCAGGGACTAGAACGCCCCGGGCCCTGTGGGGGCTGGACAATGGTGAGAGTTCCCCCACATGGGGGACTGGGGGGCCCAGCTCATCCCCAAGCAGAACAGACGGTACAGCAAGGGGCCCTGCCCCCTACCCCCCAGCGAGAGCTGGGCGCCCTTTGGTGGCAGTGGTGGGATCCTCGGACCAAGCCCAGCTCCTACTGCTCAACCCCCCCGTCCCCTCCAGCGTCTGTGTCAGCCGCGCGAGCCCCCTTGGGCTAGAGTGGGGGGGAGGGGAGGTTGTGAGCAGATGTGGGGTAAGGATTGGGGGAGTTGATCTCAAGGGGGGGCAGTTTTATTTCCCTGCAGGGAGGAAATGGGGCCCAGGCACCAGCTGCTCCCCCCTCTGGGAGCGACGGGCTTGGGCTCCCTGCAGACTCAGGCAAGGTCGCCGGACTGGGGGTTGCAGGGCAGCCGCCGGCCGTGGGGCACTGGGGCGGAGGGAGGCCCCCCTTTCCTTAGCGTTTCCCGGGGGTGGGGGGGCAGATTGCCCTGACCAAGCAACGGCTGGGGCTGCGCCCGGCATGGGACGTTGCCCCCCCCCCCCCCCGAGCTGCATCCGCTGGCACCAGCAGTGCCCTCTAGTGGAATAAAGAGGTAAATGAACCCACGCCCTCGGCCTCTAGGCTGGTCTCTGCCACCCCCACGCCTGGCAGCCAGGGGCTGGACTACTCCCCTCCAACTTGCCAGCCTCAGTTTCCCCTACACCCACCCTGCAACCCCCCTATCCAGCCCGGGCTCTGTGCCCCCTTTTCCCTCTCCGGGTTCTGATCTCCCCCAAACTCCTGGAGGGTTCAGGGCCATGCTGCCTGGACCGGCCCTGGCTCTCCCTTCCGCCTTCCCCCCCCACCCCGGGACTGGGGCCAGAGGTTGGGGGTTCGCCTGCCCAGCTCGGGGGGTCTCCGTGCCCGGCGCCCTCCCCGGTGGGGTTCCTGACCTCACCCACGGGGACATCAGGGACCTGTTCCCAATCCAGGCCGTGAGGGGGGGGCTGCAGCTTGGGGGTCCCCCCTTCGCACCCCAAACGCAGCCCCAGGCTGGCGCCCGGCTGAGCACTCGGCCCAGTTCCACCTGCCCGCAGAGGCGCCGGGGGCCAGGGCCAATTCCCACCAGCCCCCCCAGAGCAACCCCAGGAGTCCAGGGGGTCCCTGGGAAACCAGCTGCCCCACACCAGCTCTGGGGGTGGGGGCTGGGAGCCAGGACTCCTGGGTCCTCTCCCTGGCTCTGGGAGGGGAGGGGGGGGCTGGTGGGTTAGAGCGGGGGGAGCTGGGAGCCAGGACTCCTGGGTTCTCTC